CCGAAATAAGGTATTTCAGTAAAATTGTTAAAACAAAATATGTTTCATAATCACATCCTTCTTAAAGGAATAATAGGTATTTTCTTATTTCAGAATGTGGGAATTTGAAATTTACCTTTTATGATAAAAATCAATTTCAACTTTTGAATGCTCAACCATGCACGTACCTTATTGCCTTGCTGGATATAATGCTCAGAGATCCATGTAATATTTCTAAGCTACGAACTTAAACCCTTTTCTCGTTATAAGTAAAGTTTCCAATTCTAAAAAACATTTCTCAGTGTAAAGCCTAAGAAACCAAAAAAATCTAATTTTCTTCTCAAGTACGACTGGACCAGAAAAACTTATGTGGAGACATTGAAGGGTAGAGTAGATTTTAAATTCTTAAAATCAAGACGCCAGGGATTAGGGCGCGGTCACAAAAGGGAATCATTAAAAATATATATATATATAAATACACACTTAATTTATGCATACTTTTTTGTCCCCCGTTTCCTCATTCGTCTGTTCATAAGTCAGTCTGTCCGTTTGCTGTCACAAAAAACTTTAACCTTGGTCATAATTTTGAATGGGAGAGATAAGACTTTCGTATCACACCGAAAGCGGTGATCTGCAATTCTTTGAGTTTGCTTGTTTATGAAACATATACAGATATAGAGATAACGAACAATATTCAAGATCAAAGTCAATAAACTAATACAAAATAGGAGAAGAGCAAACACGGGCGTTCAAAACATCAGAGGTAGGATCAGGTGCCATGTAATTCCTTAAGAACATTTTACAGTGATAAAGAATGCCCACACCCACAGAAAAAAAAATTGTAGAAATTAAAAAGACCTATGTATGGAATCCGGATAGGGCCATGCAGTTCACTATCGCACCATCGAGTATCAACTAATAGGTCGATGGCGTGATAATGCGATGGTGCGATAACGATGAAGCGATGATGCGATAACGCGATGACGATGATGCTATGGCGCGATAATGCGATGCTGATGGTGCGATAGCACGATTGAGCGATAGTGAATATCGCTTCATCGTCATCGTACTATCGCACCATCGTCATCGCACCATCGTGTCATCATTATCGCACCATCGCGTCATCGCACCATCGTGTCATCGCATTATCGCACCATCGTCATCGCATTGTCGCGCCATAGCATCATCGTCATCGCGCTATCGCACCATCGCTTCAACGTTATCGCACCATCGCTTCATCGTCATCGCATTATCGCTTCATCGCACTATCGACCTAAACCTCGATGGTGCGATGATGCGATAGTGAACTGCGTGGCCCTATCCGGATTCCATACCTATGGATCATTTTTTAATGTGCGTAATAACAAAAATGGCCTCGTTTAATAAAAGCTCCCTTTCCAACAGTGTGAAACATGTACATTGAGTCAGGTGATTAATGCCAAGGTTTGAACTTCAACGTTTATTTCTTTTTGCCTTTTTTAATCATTACTGGACGATCACGCACCAAAAATGCGATAAAATAGCATTCTAATTACGTGTATATTTAGGAAAAAATTCGAATGGTTATGTATATATATATGTAAAGCATAAAAGTAATTTCCAATGTGAAGAATATATAACATAAATGAATAACTTTGACTTCAGTAAGGACATGACCATATTTAGAATATCATCACACAGGCTTCAAATTGAAACTGGTCATGGTAGATATACGCATTGGACTAGAAAGAAAGAGATAAAAGAATACATGTATGTGAAAAATGTAATTTGAATGTAGTGGAAAATGAACTGCAATTCAACATAGATAAATATCTTTTCTTTTTTAAGAAAAAAAGAACCAAAGAAATGAAGCACAGAAACAATACAAAATTTAAAAGTTTCGATAGGTCTCAAAAATATCTGGATCATTACACGTGAAAATATGAATGTTTTACTTCAATCTGGAAACTACCTCTTTAATCATTAAATATATTGTTAAGCACAACAACTTGCTTTGTGTGTACGGTATTTTACTTTCACAATTATTTCTTTAAAAAATTATTTCATTATTGATAATGCACTGCCTTGGTCTTCTAATGTATGTTTCATGTCTCTCTAGAGGCCCTTGATTGGAAATAAATATTGCCTGTTGTCTATTTTTACCTTTTAAGCACATCGCAAAATAGGTATTATTGGTTATAACTCTTAATGTAATATCCTTAATGACTGTCTTGCTTTTGTTTGATATTTCGATATTTGACCGATTATAGACATTAGTAGCTTAATGACAGACAAGCGGGATGTTCTTGCTTTTCAATAGTAAACATGTCTCCTTAAGTATTCATGTTTTAAGTACGATCAACATTTTTTAAAAAAAGTTGAAAATAATAAATGAGATAGTTTTTGGAATTAAATATAGACAGTTATGCAACATAATAGTTATTATATACACTTTACAAAACTTCTAAGTGTAAGCTCTAATAAATGTATTTATTTAAAAACTACTTTATAGAATGGTAGGATATTTTCAAATTATTACAACAAACGAGTCTTCTCAAAAAAATTTTGTTGAAAGAAAATCAAATTTCACCTATGAAAACTAATGTTTCGTGACAAAGCTTTAAAAAAAACCCATAAATCTGCCTTTTGCAGCACGTGGTTTGTGCAATCAGCATCCTTTGTGATCATTTTCAAATTTTTAAAACTGGTTTCTCTAAAAAAACAGATAACAATAGTAATGACCGTTGAGAAAGAAGGGAGAAACGTTGGAATGTTGATATCTGGATCATCCTTGCACCACGTTTTACTCACGTTTGTTTAGTTTTTAATTGTCCTTGATATTACTTTTAAAAATTAACAACCAGTATCAAAACACATTCAAACACCTTTTTGTATAGGCTGTGCGTCATTTTCATCGCCAATTTATCCCAATTTGAAGGATTTGGACAAAATTTAACCAACCGGAAGTGACCTTGAGGCCAAAGTTTCGCGTTACACCAGGTTAAAAGAGTGTTAAATTGTCCTAAAACAATCTTAGAAACATGAAAACAAACAATTTCAATCGTATGAAAATGAGTGTTTGTGACAGTCATATATAATCTCAAGCAGTCTGAAATATCCTAAAAGCGGTGCACTTACGAGCTAAACGCCGAAGGATGATAACCAAAGTGCCTCTGTGTGATGATGCACTGCCAAATTCCCGGATCTGAATCCCATTAAACACATTTGGGATTTTTTTATTAGGAGTATCAAAGCCCCCCACACCCCTCCACACAATTTCACCGGTTTTGAAAGATCTATGCAGTAGGTATGGGCAGAAGATTTGTCAATCTTCTATTAAGGGGTACAATGTATTCAACAGTAAAGCACGTCTTGGAGTAATTAGAGCAACTGGTTGTCTTACTCCATAGTGGTTATTTTGTATGAATTTTCATTTTGAGGGTACATCATTACCTTGACACTTTGCTTAAAATTCGGACGACATACATGAAATTTACGCAACATCAAACTGACATATGCATCATTAACCATAAATTAAAGAAATTATTTATTATATGTATTTCTTCTTTAAAACTAGAATGACATTCTGTGGATATATTCTGTAGATATATTTCCTAATGAAAAATAAAGGTGATAATACCGAGGAATATTTACATTTGCAAATGTTTTCCTAAATATAAATCTACTGAAAGCAAGCGTTTTTATAACTGTATAAATACAGGTACGGGGTCAAGAGGTCATAGATGTGCGTATGGATAAACGTTCGACGTAATTTCTCAGTGACGTCATAAAGGGTCGACGCGCGTTCAGTTGATTACATACATGCCGTTGGGTTTGAAAAGTAATGCATTTCACACGTTGATAGTCAAAATTAGGAAAATTTAAAGTATTAATAAGTAACAAATGTAAATATAAGTAATAAGGTATCATTTTTAGAGTTTTATTGGGATGTAAAACGGGTTGGCACATGATCACGTGACCAACCCGTTTTACATCCCAATAAAACTCAAAAATGATACCTTATTTCTTAAGTAATGATGTAGGAAAAATAAATTCTTTGTTCACCTGGAAGGTCAGTGAAATGGTATAACGCAGTTTTGTTTAAAAAAAGAATTTTCATTAAAGCATGGATTTCATACACTAGGGAATCATTGATAGAAGGAGAGTTAAAAAGGAGAAGTTTGATTCAGTGAAGGATGTCTTCCATTCGCTGGGCGTTCAAACAAGTCTTCACGGCATCCCCAGAATTCTCTCATCCAAACACTGGTATCAACGGGGTCTTTGGACGTGTCTGGTTCTAGTGACATTTGGATTTTTGATGTTCCAGATTTATCAACTCGTTGACGAATACACCAAATATCCTATTAAAACAAAGGTATCCATGAAGAGGGATACTCTGCAATTCCCTGCCGTCTCTCTCTGCAACATGAATCCTGTGAAAAACTCATCGTTATCACTCATCAGTGGATCTGAGCTCAAAGATATCATAGATCCTGTACCCAAGGAGAAGAGAGTATCAAATCTAAATAATATTGCAAACGAAGTAACAAGTTCGAATCCAGTTTGGACCAGTTCCTACATTAATGGAAGTACAAATTATTCGGACCGCTTCCGAGACTACAGTTATTATTATCATGACTGGGACTGGTACACGTATTATCGGTGGTGGGACTATTGGTACAACGTTCATTCTTTTGACCTCAAAAGTGATCAGGATGATTCTTTTCACCAATCAGTCAATGACTTTGGAGATTATTTGCAGGATCAAAGGGATTGGGAGGACGATGAATGGAGCGAAAAAATTGAATGGTTTAAATACCTCTTCCAAAACCAGTCAAAGTAAATCTGTTTACGTCATTATCTAACAGAATACTTTTGTCAATATTTAATTGAAGTAGTTAGTAATATAAGATGAATAGAAAGGTTCAAGCCTTAACATCATAGATAATTTAAAGGTTATAAACGCGTCAGTTTCAGGTAGACTTTGCTTCCATTTGTTTTCTTTTTTAAATACAAATACATATTTACTTCTTCAGGGACACCAGGAAAGAATTGGGACATTTTATTGAAAACATGCTAATATCCTGTTCCTTTAATGGAAAGAAATGCTCAGCAGAGTAAGCTGATTTTTAATTATTACTAGTAGTCTTAGTAGTACTTGCCCAATTTGTATCAACTTGGATTGATTGTATATTGTTTAACGTCCATATCGAGAATTTTTCACTCATACGGAGACGTCACCGTATGCCAGTGAAGGGCTTCAATTTTTTTTACCTATACTCGGCACTCAGGGCCATTGAGCAGTGAGGGATCTTTATTGTGCCAACGCCTGCCGCTGACACGGGACCTAGATTTTTAAGGTCTCATCCAAAGGACCCGCAACTTTCACTTCAAAGTGCCGAGCGCATGGCGAAGGAACAGTTGCTACCCATTTTGTATCGACTTAGGTCAGTCGCGGCTGAGATTCGAACTCAGACCTCCCGATCATGGAGCGAGCGCTGTACCGACTGAGCTACCGTGAATGGTTATCCACTTGGAAAGGGAAACTGATGCTATGCTCTTAAAGCAAAGTATGGGCGAAGATAATTTTAAGGTGCATTGATTGTAAAACATTCAATCATGTTTTCTACTTTGAATTCGCCAATTGAAGTCCATAAAATTTACTCAGCTGTTGAAATTCACACGATAATCAAATAAAAGCATGCATAAAAAATAACTTTTAAAACATTGATGATAACTATTAGATTTTCGCTTTTTCTGAACACAATGCACTTTTTATATTGTGTTATGGAAATAAAATAATGTGAAGCCACTGTAACAATAAAATAATAAATAAACGAAAAAATATGAGTCCATGGCACCTGATCCCACCTCTGGTGTTTCGGAGGTCCGTGTTTGCTCTGCTCTTATTTTGTATATTTGTTTAATGGACGTTGAGATTGAATACTGTTCGTTATTTCCATATCCTTCTCAATGCTAACTACCAATAACCCTGCTCTGATTTAAATTTGTTATGGACACACAGGAAGCTGACCTCAGCAATCATACAAAAATAAAGAACTATATGCGGTATATTGCGTGTATCTGCCCCCACAAAATCAAATTTTGGAAACTTCCTGAAATGTGCTGAATTCAATAAATTGTATGAGAAATATAAATTAACAGAAAATATTATAGTTTCAAAGCAGTGTATTCACAATTTTTGTTTTTATGACGTCACAAACAAGTCCGATTTTATATCCTTTTTCAGAAAGAGGACAAAATGGACAAAATTTCAACAATTTTAGCTTTAAAATTTATAGAGCGCAAGTTTGTTCAGGAACAATATTGACATATTTCATTGATATTATCATTCTACACATTATATCAAAATATTGATCCTGAACACATGCGCTCGGTGACTTTTACTCAAAATATCGACGAAATATGTACATTTTTTTGTAAAATTCATAAAAACTGAAATTTACGTCATGTTTATGACGTCATTACGTACATATGACGTCATTACTTATGAAAATATTCAGTGCTGTGAAGTCAGCATATACTCCCCTGTTTTAGAACTTAATTAAATATATCTCCATCAAAGTTTGATTTGGGGGGCAAATATTGGTTATTACCGAATAAAGTTCTTTAGAAACGTACTCAGTGGAGTTCATACTCAGAGTTTGGAGTTTGAGTTGGAGTATGAGTACGCTTAAAGTTTTATAACCTCAGGGCCAGAAGACGGATTATGAAATCCAGAAAGCGCTTGTGTTAAATGAACTTTGGAAACAACATTTTCTTTTTCTTTTATAATTATTTTAACCTGTGTGACATCGACTTTGAACTATTTTAATATATATATATATATATATATATATATATATATATATATATATATATATATATATATATATATATATATATATATATATATATATATATATATATCTTTTGAAGGATACAGCTAAGGTTCTTAAGGACGGGATGGTATGTGGTTACCAGAGGGACCCTGTCGCTATTGTCTTTTTCCTTGTAGCGTAACAGGTTTTGCCTGTCATGTTCCGCCATCTCATCAATAGCTGTTTGTACGGTGCGGGCATTGTAGACTCTTTTGCATAAGTGGGACTTAAGAAGACAACTTTGCTCCTGATATAAGGCAGGGGACGAACAGATGCGTCGAATTCTGGTGGCTAGACCATTAGGCACTCCCTTAAAAGTGTGTGGGGGATGACAGCTAGTGGGCGTAAGATATAGGTGGGAGTCTGTGGGTTTGGTGTGGAGACTGAATTCGATTTCACCATCAATCAGGGTAGATGTAATATCTAGGAATGCGTTTATCGAATTAGAAACGTCTACTGTAAATTTGATCGACTGATGAAAGGTGTTGGCAAACGTAATGAATGCCTCGAGGTTCTCGCGACAATCGTGTCGTTGGTCATTTTTAGTGCTTTATATAAATTTCCATCCGTGACCTTGTATCTACTTGGTAGATCCGACATTTAGGATATACAGTGTTGTTGGTTTTTTAGTGCTTTATATATATATATATATATATATATATATATATATATATATATATATATATATATATATATATATATATATATATATATATATATATATATATAACGAATATTATATATATATATATATATATATATATATATATATATATATATATATATATATATATATATATATATATATATATATATATATATATATATATATATATATATATATATTTTCCTATGTAAAATTAAGGGTGTGGTATAACTGCTCAAAGAAAATTATATATACGTCGAGGTACATGTATGTTCAGCAAACTTGTCTATTCAGAAAGAATATTAATTACTAGCTTTTACAAAATCGTAAATTACATGTAAATCGGGGTCAGTTAATATGAGAGTAATTAAACTGTGGTTTCTTTTTTCAGATATTAATGTCATACAATCATTGATTGTTTGTTCAAAATTTCATAATTTAAATTTATCCCAAGCTCTCGCTTTCTCTTTGTTTTTATAAGAGACGAGCTTTAATTAATTGTCTACTGTTATGTAAAGAAAGAACAAATACGGGCGTTTGAAATCCTGCATTCAGATAAAACGTGCAGCTAATATATTAATTTAAAAAAATACATTGGATACATATCGATGTACAGTTTTTATTGCACTACGTACATGTTTACAATTCAGAAATTCATTGTATAATGGTGATAATGTAGGTTAAATTTTGTAAACTAGTCTGTAAAAGACAAACAGTGAAACTGGTACAAAAAAATAAAATTTAACGAATATTCGACTATCGTTCGACTAAAGCATACGACTATTCGACTAAGCTGTCCGAGTAAAATTGACATCCCTAATATATATATATATATATATGAATTTTTCAAAATCTTCTTCTCATATACCACTTGGGTCAGAAAAGTTGAAACATATGTGGAAGTATCCTGCGGTAGTTTAGTTTTAAATTGTGAAAAATCATGTCCCCCGGGGGTAGGGCCTACCCACACTGGGGAATAAAAGTTTTAAATTGAAGTATATCGGAAAAAACTTTTCTTCATAAGTAGACTAAAAAAGCTGAAACTTATGTTGAAGCATCCTGGGGTAGTGTAGATTCTAAATTGTTTGAAACATGGCCCTTTAGGATTGTCAAGGTCAAGATAGGTATTACAAAGGGGTAAGTCTGTTTAATGACAGAATGGCCAAAGTTACTCAGATGAGCGATGTGGCCCATGGGCCTCTTGTTTTCGTGCTTACGTCTAATTCAACAATGTCCTCTGCGATATTGTGGCAAGCTTCGCCATGCGATATTTAGCAGTTTATAATTAGGATAAAGGACTGACATTCAATCGGAAATATAGCAATATTTATTTACAGAATTTTTTTTCCAAAATGAGCTTTTTGTCGTTGAAGCTGCCTTGAAAAATACTGATAATTATCTTTCAGATAATTTAAACACTATGAATATTCTGAAATATTTGAGCATATCTTTTTATCTAACGTGTTTATTATTTGTGCCTAAAAATCGCATTATGGACGTATGGATGTAAACATGAAGACGTATCGAAATTCCTTACAAACACTATACAGGGCGATATGAGGTGATATCTTTTAGATAAGTCAAGAAATCTCATGACAGGATCGTTTTAAAAAATAAAGTACATAATAAATTAGTATTATAAAAAATACGAAAAAAAATTCATTGACGTGAATTGTTTTCAGCTCGCTCAAGGCCCTGTTCCCTCTTAAATACAGTTTATCTCCTTGATTCATATAAGATTTAAATTGACAATGATATTGTATCTTTTCAATCTCTCAGCAACTTTACACTGTTTCAAACTGCGGAATATGGAAACTGTTACACTCTATCGAGTGATCTGTTCATAACGAGGAAAACGGGTCCTATGAATGGTAAGTTATCAATATTAAGCATGACAAGATTCTAAACATTATCTTGTAAAATATTAAAACGACCTCTGATAAACTGAATTTAAGGATATACCAAATTGATTTTGAATTCTTAACGTAAATTACAGAAGAAAGTAACATCCTGATACCATGTTTTATGCTCCTGATTTGAGATCTTAAAATGACATTACTGTGTATTATTTTTCCATTACTAATTTCAAAATATTTTTTTTTTGTTCAGGACTGCAATTGATTTTACAAGTCGAGAAATTTGAGTTGTTAAGTAATTTAATAGATGGAGCCGGTTTTCGACTTGTTATTCATGAACCTGAAACCTTCCCTTTTCCACAGGATGAAGGTTACACAATCAGTTCTGGGCATGAAACAACCATTGGAATGAAAATGGTAACTACATAGATTCAAAATGTTTTTTTAATTGACCTTTTAAAAGTTCTTAGGATGATTAGATTGAATATTATTCATTAAATGGAGGTTAATAATACTGATTTCTTAGTAAGAAAGAATTGGGAACACGCACGTAAAGGCATGTGATATTTCATTTTTGAGACGAAATAAATTCGAAAATGACCTCAGAACTTCAAACACTGTATGTTCAGTTTAATGGAAATCAAAGACCCCTTTTATTTCCAAAAAGAGCATTTAAATAGAAAAATAAAGGGGAAAATGGCTTCCTTGTTAAAACTTTTTCGATCCTTGAAATAGAAAATCCTCTTCCTCATGTTATCAGGTACGTGTTGTGCGTGCAGAGGCACCATATGGTATGTGTGATTCAGGAGATACCTTCTACAAGACGTATGGATTCCGCTATACTATGCAGGTTAGTGAATGTACCAAAGATATCACTGCAGTATTAAAAGTTACAAGCAATTGCATAATCATCAATATACAACTTTAACAACTTCTTCTGCATAATTTAGTTAAGCATATTTTGGAAGATTTTTTTTTGTCTAAAGATTTCTTTCAGTTTCTATCAAATCAAAGCCTTTTACAGAGAAAACAAAACTGATCTTTTCCCAATCTAGGCTGATGTTCGTTAACTTAAAAATCTGAAAAGACTCCAATAAAAATAAACTAATAAAACATACATGTATAATGAAATAATTTTCGCTATTAGAACTTATACAGTGTATCTAGTTGCAGACATGTCTTTTCCTTCTCACAAGATCAGATTATGAGCTCAGACATGAAATCAGGTATTCATATGTCATAGAGTGACTGTTCCTTCGCCTAGTAGCCTGTATTAGAAGTGAAAGTCACGGGTCTATCTGACGAAACCTTAAAAGTGATGGTAGATGGTAGTCACAATAAAGAACCTTGAGTGCTTAACGGTTCTAATTGCAAAGTATTGGACCAATTTTTTTGAAACCCTTTGCTGGTACATGTAATTGTACAGTGTAAATAACATAGTCAAAATAAAAGTATGTAATGTGTATGTAAGTGTATTTCCATTTTTCCAAATTTAATGCCAAGGTAGGGTACCAATTTTTATCCATTTTTAGGCGTGTCTTCAAATCTGCAGACATAGGAAAGTTGTCGAAATCTGTAAATGTCGACCATCCGAACTTATGGACATCAAATTCATGGAGAAATTCAACACGACTCCTGTTTGTTCCTCTAGTACGTATTATTTGTAAACTTTAAAGAGGTTGGGGTGGCAGCCATTTTCAGACTATTTCAATCTCCTTTAAAAGAAAAGCTCCATATAAAGATATACAAAAATGATCAAATTTTAAAACTAGAATGTATGAATTTTTTCTTTGCCAAATGATAGTTGACAGCTTAAGATACCCTATATAAAAAAATAAGTTTAATCTGGTGGTTAATTTGTTGACCCCAAGCCTCCTTAAGCGTTAGTGTATATTATGCAATGTAAAAGCAGACGCAATACAGTTATATGATTTACCTCTTCTTCATTCCGCTTAAAAATTCTCCTCCCCTTCTATTGATACGAAATACTTGAAAAGATTTCAGCAAAAAATCAGCTTTATTCTCTCGTTCTATACGGATTTCCTATCTTGACTTACAAACAGAAGGTGGTCAGTTTAGACCTTGCTGCATTTTCTTGTTGATTTTCCTCTTTTGTATTTTATGTTCTCACAATTTCTCTTTACAACATTACATTTTTTATAAAATTTTTGCTCTAGCCCTTGTCTCCACCTTGTTACACTAGCTGTAACCACGTTCACTTTTACACATTTGTTTAGCCACACCCTTTACATTTATTTTTCACCTAAGAAATTAAGCACTTGCAAAAGCTTGAATTCGTTCGTTAATAGCATCGACACTTGTACATAACGTCTGCTTTTTTACCCATTTCGTCATTTTGTATGATGATGTATTTGACATAAATTCATCAATACAAAGCACTTTAAGAAAGTGCACATAGGTAAGGCAAATTGATAATAGGATGAGACATATCCCATAGTTTTACTAAAAAATTAAAAAGCAATAAATGATAAGTGTCTCAAATGGCCCTTTGAAATGATTATCTTAATTTAACATTGTATTTAGCTTTATTTTGCACTTCTATACATAGTCATATGACTTTTTATTGTAGCTTTCGTTTGATTAAAATGCTATTTATCTATAGATATGACCTCAAGTCACCTTTTCCCACCATTTTAAAATATTTCATATACAACTGGTTTTTTTCAAGCAGTTTTTCTTCCAGAAAACATTAAGTAGACTTGAACAAACTCTTTATTTTTGTTCAAAGATATATATAAAATAAAATTATACATATCAGAATCACATTCTAAAATGTTGATTTTGTGAGGACCCAAATTGACTCATATCATATATTATCCTTGAAATAGAAATATTTTTTTTCTCAATTCATTTGTAAAGAAATCACAATTTTTTTTTAACTACGAACGAAATTAAGGATGATTAAATAGTTTTGAAACCATTCATATTTGTTAGGACCCTCTCTACACCAGTTCAAAATGTTTTTTGGATATTGAGAAAAATGTATTCTATAAAGGTGTTGGTATTGAGCTTATTTACATGATTTTCAACATATGGTGCGTGGTATTTACCCCCAGGAAAAATAATCAAACACAATACAGTATCAGTGAATAGAAATCACTGTTTTTTACTTCCATAGAGAAAATACATGTAAATAATATGTTCAATTAATTTATCTTGGCCTTTTAAAATGTTATGAATACCTGAATTGATTACAAATTGTGTAATAAACTGTGAATTTTTAATTTTAAGAATTTAGATCTAAGGGAAGATCACTCTAACTGCAAAAAATACCATAGAATCAGAACTCTTTAGTGTTCAGTGTAGATAGGATTCTTAAGTATCATCAGTCGTTTCTTAATGTTTTTGTTTTAAATAGATACAAATGGTACAGGAAACAACAAAACTGAAAAGGGTAAACATAGTAATGCCAAGCAGTGTGAGGAATTCATTTATTTCCGAATTGATGAACACTATATTGACTGTGAATGTGCAAGTCCTTGCAGGTAAGTATACCCTGAAAAAACTGGGGTTAAATTAGGACGTAAATATTTGCATTAAGTTTTTTGTCAAAGCCTAGAATTATACATCGTAAATGTGTACGTATCATCTCTTTGACATATTCAAAGAAGGATGCATATTTTTGTATTCTATAAATTTTGCAGGCAAACACTCTATCAGTCCACTATATCTGGTCGAATGTGGCCGAAAGAGTCCTTTCTGGTAAGGATTAAATATATTCCATTCTTCAGTTAATGATTTGAAAATAGAACCCTTCAAAACTCTGATATTTCCTACCATAGGAAACGAAAAAAAAAAAATGAATACTTTTGAAAACATATGAGTCACAGTTAACATGGCTTAAGCTCACCATATATACTACTACTATTCCAATAACAGCTGTTAAGTTCGCATGAACAAGTCCGCTAAAATACCACAATTTGTGTTATCATAATTATACTCCCGTTTGAAAAGTGGGATGGTATATAGTGACTGGTATGTCCGTCCGTCTGCCTGTACGTCCATCCGGCCGCATGTCCGTTGGTTCGTTTGTTAAGCTTTAAGGTACCCATCTCTTATCCGCAACTCCTTTAAAACCACCTGATGAAATTAAAACAAACGTTCACAGAATCTTACATATTGTCATTGTGAACCTCCTATTTAACTATTTAACTTTTGATCTGACAATATGTCGGATTTCCATATCAAAACATAGACACGTCTTCTCTTTCTACAATATTGAATGGTACCATGTACCATCTCCTATCCGCAATTTCTCCTAAACCACTCAATAATATTTAATGATAATATTACAATTTTTTTAATTACATAATACCTTTGCGCACCTCCTATTTTACTTTTGGATATGACAATTATTTCGGTCTTCCAGAGCAAAACATGAACTTTGCCATTGTATTCATATCAGATGCGAGAGGTATCATTTAGTGAGCTCAGTGCTCACAGTATCTTTAGTTATCATTTGTTTAGAGGATTTCTAGTTTATCAAAATGCATAATACTTCTTTACTTGTTAAACACAAACCCGCCCCAAACATTCAAGTTTCAATACGTTTAAAAGGAGAAATTAGATTTTTCATATATTTATCTTTCAAAACGCTATTGCAATATATAAGTCGTTATTTTATACAGAAAATTTGAGAACATGTTGACTTCAAATCTTTGTCTTTGCACCTTTAAATGTCATGTATAACTTTAAACCGACTGTATAAAGATAATATATAAGAAAACTAGCAGAGAAAACATTTAACTATATATAATATATAGTTGTATAATGCACGTAAAAGCTTAGAAAAGTATTATTTTATACATTGTAGATGATATTCCCCCTCTCTCGTTCAAAATTTTATCATTTTGTTATATGAATTAATAGAATGATAGATTGTTTTAAAAGGCTTATATATATAGTACCCGGTGTTTCGCATTTGGTGTATGGTATATGCTAAGCTACTGTCAATGTTATTCTAATAAGATATTTTAATATCTTAACAGGAAAAAGAATTGCTGAATACACGCTGTGAACAATTCAATTACTCATACTGCGACAAGTATATGGACGAGAAAAATTCTGCATCGTAAGTTTCTCATTCACTCTCTTTCCCTCCAATATACCTACTATTAATTTAAAATAAGTTGTTAAACATTTTCACCGGATGCAAATGTCCAAGCTTGTCAATGAATTATCAGCAATAAGAAACACCCAAGGCTTTAAAAAAACGATTGAAACGGAAAGTGTTCAACAGCACCATTAATGCATAGATATCTTCAAAATCTAAGATGATTTTTTTTACTTTATTGGCTGAAGAACTTAAAAAGAAAAAAAATAAAACAGTGGATTTTTTACGATACTTGATGGAATAGGGTGGGTTTGGAAGATGGTGGGGTTGGTTCAAGGTATTAAAATATTGAAAAAGAGCAAGATCAAATATGAACTACTGATTGTCAATTTCGCAGGCTGATAGCAAGCACTGTAGATTAAATTAGAATTGTGTTTTTCTATCAGGAAAAGCAGAAACCAATTTTATATAAGATTATTTTAATACTAGTATGTTGATAAACAACGTTTTTAAACATTAAAAATATTTCAAAATGTAAAGCATTTATCAATTTATAAGGCGGTAAAATTATCAATGCATTTTAAGATTAGGGCCTGATATGATTTTAGATGATTTTCATAACAGTTTTAAAGACAACTTCTTAAAGCTGGTGATATATTACGAGGATATGAACTACGAGGATATTTCAGAAGAACCGTCATATGATGTGAGTTTTACTTAAAATATACATCAAAGCTATTTCATTGTCTTTAACAGAAAAAAAATGTTTTAGCTATCGTTTATTATATCCCCGCTTAAATGTGGGAGGGTATATAGTAATCGGTATGTCCGTTCGTCAGTCCGTCTGTCTGTTACGCTTTGGAGTACCCATGTCTTATCCGCAACTCCTCTCATACCACCGAATGAAACTTGATAAGACTTTCACAGAATCTCTATATCATATTGCCATTGTGCACCTCCTTTTTTACCTTTTTTGATCCGACACATATTTTGGGTTTTCCATAGCAAAATATTAACGTTGCCATTATACCGGTATTCATATGTGAGGTGGGGGTATCATTTAGTGAGCTCATTGCTTACAGTACCTCTAGCAATAGTATTAATTTTTTTTTCAGTGAATAATTCTGAATTGTTGATAAGATATAAAAAAAAACTTAATATAGTAAATCAAAGGACGTGTTATGATACCCTCCGTTTGAAAAGTGGGAGGGAATGTAGTAATCGGGATGTCCCTCTGTCCGTCTGTCTGTTACGCTTTTGGGGTACCCATCTCTTCTCCGCAACTCCTCTCATACCACTGAATGAAAAATTGATGAAACTTTCACAGAATCATTATTACATATTGCAATTGTGCACCTCCTATTTTACTTTTTGATCTGACACATATTGTGGATTTCACCTAGCAAAACAAGAACACGGTCATTATATTCATATGGGAGGCGGGGGGTAACATTTAGTGAGCTCTTTGCTCCCAGTACCTCTAGTTTCTAATGAAATAGTTTAGTGATTTTATTATTGAAGTAAATAAGAGTAGTTTCATCTTGAAATGGGAATTGTTGTATTTCATTGCCTTGAATTGACAAACATTATTTTATGAATAATTATATTTCTCATAATTTTGAAAGTCTACGATTTCTCGTATTTTGCAGGGTTTCAGATTTTTGTCGGATTTAGGAGGAGCTATGGGACTTTTCTTGGGTGCCTCTCTTCTGAGTTTTCTCGAATTGGTACAACTGTTGGTAGAACTTTTTAATTATCATCGTCAAAAATGTCGTAACAGAAAAATCGAAGTAAAGAAGGGTTCGAATGTTATCGTAAAACCGACCAAAGACACCACCGTCAAGGACAACATACATGTATTCACATGCAGTAACAGAAAAATCGAAGTAAACACGGGTTCGAATTTTATCGTAAAACCGACCAAAGACACCACCGTCAAGAACAATATACATGTATTTACAGCTGCAAAAGAAAAAAAATGAAAATGTTTTATTTACTCGTATACATTTACATGTATGCATTTGAAGAAAGCAAAATTCGATAAAATCGGGGAAAACTTGGAAACGCTTTTCTTCTTTTTTTTTCTTTGTTCATTAATAAATTACGTAGTACTTCAACAAAAATGAACAACACGAAATATTTATAAAAAAGATATTGAAACATTTATCGGGATATCAATTATGAATAACGGTTTTGATCTCATGCTAAAATCTCCCCCCCCCTTTTTTTTTTTTTTTTTTGTTAGATTTAATCAGGGAACAATCCGTTTTATATTCTACAGATGTTTTAAAATGATACTTTAAATTATCACTTATAATTCACATCTGTAGCTTATTTCTGGCTTATCTAACATAAACTATAATTTGTAATCCATTAAACTATTAAGAGACACCGAGACGCACAAAGGAGAAAATTGACCAATGTAATTTTTTTGCATAACCCATGTAATTCCGTTCAATTCCTTAAAGCACTAGATTTCAGAAAATTACAGCTTTCAGAAACCAAAAATTCTTTTTATGGAGAAAAATAAAAGTAAAAGTCATTTCATTATGTCCCATAACGAAAATATAGCTAAATACTTCTTTGCCCCTATTGTACGCGTGCGCAGAAAAGTTTAAGAAGTTTCCATAGTTACCATGGTCTCAAGTACACCGGAATGACTTACTTAAGCAGCACTATACCTTCATCACCTGCATACAGATTTTATATAGCTCAGTTGATTCGATACGCAAAGGCATGCTCTTCACATGAACAATTTCTAACACGAGGTAAATCATTGACAAAAAAGTTGATGGAACAAGAATATAAACAGTCTCGTTTAAAGTCATCATTTCGTAATTTTTATGGTGGATACAATGACCTTGTCAGCATATACAATTTATCATTGAGTCAAATGCTGATTGACTTTTTAGCTTACCTGAGCCGAAGGCTCAAGTAAGCTTTTCTGATCAAAATTTGTCCGTCGTCTGTCGTTGTCGTCGTCGTCGTAAACTTTTCACATTTTCATCTTCTTCTCAAGAACCACTGGGCTAATTTCAACCAAACTTGCTACAAAGTATCCTTGGGTAAAGGGGATTCAAGTTTGTTTAAATGAAGGGCCACGCCCTTTTCCAAGTGGAGATAATTATGAATTAGAGAAAAATTAATGGCATTTTTAAAAATCTTCTTCTCAAGAACCACTGGGCCAGGAAAGATGAAACTCATGTGGAATCATCCTCAGGTAATGTTAATTCAAATTTATTCAAATTATGTCCCCCGGGGGTAGGGTAGGGCCAATATGGCCGATCAAAGTTTTACATAGGAATATATAGGGAAAATCTTTAAAAATCTTCTTCTCAAGAACCACTGAGCCAGGAAAGACGAAACTTATGTGGAATCATCCTCAGGATTTTGTTGCACGAACAATAGTTCAAATTCAAATTTGTTCAAAACATGACCCCTGGGGGGGAGGGTGGGGCCAAAATGGCCGATCAAAGTTATACATAGGAATATATAGGAAATATCGTTAAAAATCTTCTCCTCAAGAACCACTGGGCCAGGAGAGATGAAACTCATGTGGAATCATCCTCAGGTAGTGTAAATTCAAGTTTGTTCAATTCATGACCCCCGGGGGTAGGGTGGGGCAAAAATGGCCGATCAAAGTTTTACATAGGAATACATAGGAAAATTCTATTAAAATCTTCTTCTCAAGAACCACTGGGCCAGGAAAGATGAAATGCATGTGGAATCATCCTCAGGATTTGGTTGCACGAACAATAGTTAAATTTTCTTCAAGTTAATGCCGTAACTAGCTGTTAAATTTTTAATGATAAGTTACAAAACTGTCAGTTAAAATGGTGGTTTTCGAAAATCAATTAAAATTTAATTAGTTAACTCAGATTTAATTGATGTCTTATAGTTAACTCTCTGTTAAAATCGTTCGAGATGTGCACTTCCTTTACCTATAGTGAAAGATTACTGACGTCATAATTAAAGTGACGTCAATTTGTAAATGTGAATTTGCTACGGAAAATTTACATTATTATGTTAATCCTTTTTATCAGATATTGCGTAATATATTATTAAAAGTAATTTCTTCCAACATGAATTTAACATTGAACGATCAATTTAAACGCAATATAATCAATACAGTTACAACGACTACTGTACATGTACTTTTTTCTGTATATAATTCTAACACAAGGTGTTGAATTTGAAATTAAAAATAATTTTTAAAAAACCAATCTTAAATGGGTGAGTGGAACACCCTCTCCTTCTTCATTTTTTGTGCCTTGGGTTCATGGAATAAACGTTTTTATGTAACTTACAATAACATGTACGTATACGTATCAATATATTGACACAGCCTAATAATGCAATCATGCCGACATTGAAATCAGTATCAAATGTGTGTTTTGCTCATGTCAGACATTTATATTGTCTCTGTACGAGTTCTTCCTTCACCGCAAACAAGTTTTGAAATAATAACAATTCCTTAATCGTCATTTTAAGGTTTAATTAATATTTAATGTACCTATGTAACCTAAGTTAAATCTGTTAGTTAAATCACAAAATTAACTAAGGTTTAACTGTTAGTTAACTTTCGAGCAACCGATTTAACTCGCTGTTAATTTTAATGTCGCGTTACGCAAATTTAACGGCTAGTTAAATTTAACAAGCGTTCGTGCAACCGGATCCCTGGGGGGTTAAAATCCAAGCCCCCTCCCCGCCTTCAGTAAATTTTCAGTTCTGATCTGATATGTGCTTTTTTCTAGCCAATTGCTCATGTGAGCGATGTGACCCCTTGGCCTCTTGTTTTCGTACTAATTGTAAGTCCATTATTTATACACTGAATTGACGACGGATTTATCGTTTCTTGTAATTTTAGGATTATACTACTTTTGTATTTTATGTGTGATATGTTTGCTGATTACTAATGGTCCTATACATTGACAAATCCCTCCTTTGCGATGCTGTAATTTCATTTGCAAATTTACAATGTAGCATCCATTTTGATATAATATTCACAATTTTACAATGTTTAATCCATTTTTTATCCATTGTTAGCTCACCTGAGCCGAAGGCACAAGTGAGCTTTTCTGATCAAAATTTATCCGTTGTCTGTCGTCGTCGTTGTCGTCGTTGTCGTCGGCGTCGTCGTAAACTTTTCACATTTTCATCTTCTTCTCAAGAACCACTGGGCCAATTTCAACCAAACTTGGCATAAAGTATTCTTGGGTAAAGGGGATTCAAGTTTGTTCAAATGAAGGGCCACACCCCCTTCCAAGGGGAGATAATTATGAATTTGTGAAAAATTTATGCATTTTTAAAAAATCTTCTTCTCCAGAACCGCTGGGCCAGGAAAGATGAAACTCATGTGGAAGCATCCTCAGGTAGTGTAGATTCAAGTTTGTTCAAATCATGTCCCCCGGGCAAAGGGTGGGGCCAAAATGGCCGACCCAGGTTTTACATAGGAATATATAGGGAAAATCTTTTAAAATCTTCTCCAGTACCACTGGGCCAGGAAAGATGAAACTCATGTGGAATCATCCTCAGGTAGTGTAGATTCAAGTTTGTTCAAATCATGATCCCTGGGGCAAGGATGGGGCCAAGATGGCCGACCCAAGTTTTACATAGAAATATATAGGAAAAATCTTTAAAAAATCTTCTTCTTAAGAACCACTGGGCCAGGAGAGATGAAACTCATGTGGAATCATCCTCAGGTAGCGTAGATTCAAGTTTGTTCAAATCATGATCCCTGGGGCAAGGATGGGGCCAAGATGGCCGACCCAAGTTTTACATAGAAATATATAGGAAAAATCTTTAAAAATCTTCTTCTTAAGAACCACTGGGCCAGGAGAGATGAAACTCATGTGGAATCATCCTCAGGTAGTGTAGATTCAAGTTTGTTCAAATCATGAACCCCGGGGCTAGGGTGAGGCCAAAATGGCCGACCCAAGTTTTACATAGGGATATATAGGGAAACCTTTTAAAATCTTCTTTTCAAGTACTTCAAAGCTATGATTTGTGATATTTATATGGAATCATCCTCAGGTAGTATAGATTCTAGTTTGTTCAAATGATGAACGCCTGGACGGGGGGGGGGGTTGGTGGAATAAATTCAAGCCTGATGTGCTCAGGTGAGCGCTGTGGCCCCTGGGCCTCTTGTTATACAAGGAACCGGTAGTTTGCATATCTACATTTTAAAATCCATTTTATTATATTGAAACTACATTTTAAAAAGTTTGTCCAAATTTTATGATTTGCTTTGATTAGAATATCATTATATTCTGATCAATAAACTTTTTTCAGTACAAATGTGAGTTTGTCTTATTTTGATGTGTATGAGATAAGGAGGGACATAAAATGTTTTATAATATAAACAGTGCATGCTCTGCATAAAAATAGATATGCAACAAGTTTGTAAATAAGTCTGTTCTTTTGTGGACTGCACTTGTTTCAGTCTCGTCAAAGAACTACGAATCAAACTCTTGATTCCTGCCTACATTTTGCACCCATTAAATTCAATATTAATGGCAATTTGGCCATTAAATCTTTGTTTACTACAAAGAACAGTTCTATGGTAATTGATTATTCATTTTAATTCCAGCGCTAGATAGTAAATTATCATTGATTCCAGCTCTTGAAAAAAGGGGGGTAGACAATATTTTCTGGTGAAATCGTACTTTCAAAAATCCCCATATTTTGAAATAGGCTTAAATATGATAAAATAAATATCACATCTTTTCTTATGTTTACGCAAATAAATAAAACATATATAAATTAATAAATTACAATTATTTAGTTGAAAATAGCTTTAAAATTAGTAAAAAATCAGCATTTTTTCGTTTTTGTCTATAACCATATGCCCCCCCCCCCCCCATGAAACACAAAAAGCTTTGGCATAAATTTGTAAAATGACAGTCCATATTACCTGTAAAAAGGAATTTTTGTTTCACGGGGGGGGGGGGAAGATGTTTTTAAAAATATTTTCCGTTTTCCGTTGATTTCTATAGTGAAAAACACAAGTTTTACCAAAATTATAGACTTATCCCTCTTTGGAATCCGAAATAAGTAACGTTTTATGAAAATTCATATAAATGTCTATAAAAATTTTTGAAAATCATTTGAATATATTAACTTTTGAGAATTGACTTAGAGGTAGGCGGGAGAACAATACTATCGTTCGTACTTCTTATCATATTCCAACAAGGGTAAAAACATCTTCAAATTCATGTGTCAGTTTTCAATATATTTACTATTCCATACCACCAAAATGAATTGGATAATTTACCATATCTATATTGGAATCAGAAATTTAATAAAAATCCTTACACACAAAGATACATAGCGGGTTTCAGTAAATGTTCTACCAAGCCTCCTTCTTTACTCCTCATAAGAACTCTTTACTCTTCTATGACACCTTATTTCGCCTTAGTTGTTTTGGATTTCTATGTTTGCTCTGCTCCTTTTTCTATGCGCCCGGATCGATAGATCCGAGGCGTATATTGTTTTTGTCCTGTCTGTTTGTCTGTTTATCTGTTTATCTGTTGGTCTATTTATCTATTATTTATCTATTTGTCTGTTTGTCTGTCTGTCTGTAATCAACTTTAACCTTCGCCATAACTTTTGAACCACGAGAGATAGAAACTTCATATTTATTATGCATACTCCACTAATTAAGTTCTTTCAAATGACATCAAGTTCAATGACTTTTTTACCTTGACTGTGACCTATTTGCTAAAAATAGCTTTTTCGAACTTTCACCATAACTTTTGAACCATGAGAGATAGAGACTTCATACTTGGTATGCATACTCCACTAATAAAGCTCTTTCAAATGAGACCAAGGTTAATGGCCTTGTGTCCTTGACTTTGACTTATCTGCTGAAAATATTTTGTTTAATTTTGTTTCCGGCGGGCGCATAGTGTTTCACAAACACATCTTGTTTTTGTTTTTTTTTTTTTGTTTTTTTGTATTGTTCAAGAAGCTTGAATACTGTTCATTTTCTAAATATATTTCAACGCACACTGTTTATAAATAAAAAAAAAAATAAAATCTAGAATTTTAGGCAGGCAAAAAAATGTATAATTTAAGTACCAGTGTAATAAGTGACCAATCTGATTAAGACTGTCGTGACAAAAACATAGGGGCGGGTTCACAGTAAATAATTTTGCATCAAGCAAGCGTAAATTGTTATAAAACTTTGCAGATTCTTGTTTCCAAGAAATCAAATCAATAAAAATTCATAAATACTTGTTTATTTTAAATGGGAAACATTTCATAATGTATCAAAAGTCGAATTATTAATTTTCAGGCTATGATATAACAATTTGTTCTTTTTCATGATGTATTATCAGAGTACAAAACATTGTCATAAATAATTAATTTAAACATCCAGCAACAAATAAAACATGTACTCATAATAATTACAAGAAATAAAACATCTTTTTTTTAAAAGGTTCACTTCTTAAAACTCAAAGTTAAGGAATAAATCTACGGAAATTAATGTTATATAGTTTTGCAGGCACTTACAGGAGTACATATAATACGAAAAGGAGAAGTATAAGCCGAGCCATTTACCTGGGGTTTACCTTTATTCAACGACTCCATATATTTGTGTATTACCTTAAGTATTTAAACAATTCTCCTGTGAATGTTTAAGACATAAAGCCCTTTTTTCGTGAATGTTGCAGGATAACGTCCGAGGTCGAGAAATGTTTGAAAGAAAAAAAAATTGAGACATATTTCAAACAACATTTTGAGATAAGGTTTTTCTGCAGCAAGAATATTATTATATTTACTACCAACTGGTCTCAAATACGGCTAATGATTTCCTCTATAGAAAAACTGAATAAGGCCACTTTGTTGTGATTTATGAGAAACGCTGTCTAGTTTGTTGGGTATGCCAGGGCATTAATGATAGTTGAAAACGTGGGGTAATTTGTATTACGGGCCAAATATCCAAAATTTCAACTATTGTTGCCGTCCCTTGACAACCCAACAAACTAGACAGCGATTCCTTATATTCCTTATTATTGTGAATAAAATTTAAAAAGATTAATAAAAATGCCTAATAGATTTAAATTATACCAGGCCTCAAAAATCAATATCAATAGTCCCTACCAACTGACACAAAGACAGACGCACGAGACTACATGTATATTAGGATTACTCGACTCCTAACCATTTAATTTGCTTGGCAAAATTTACTTTCCGGTTAAATTATCAAGAAATCAACTCACCTAACTTTTAATAGTTATCACAGAGAAAACAAATACACAGAAATGGAAAATGATATAACGCTGTTTTATTTAACACCAGAGGGTCAAGATATTTGTGTACTTGTCTATCGATTTCATAGAATGCAGACGATTTGATCTTTGTTGGATTAAAATATCCTTTAATTATTTATTAATTTGTTTGTAACATATATTTATTAATTTTTATGAATGTAATACATGTATTATATCAATAGGCAAATAAAACAGAGATTTTAAATTTGATAAATGAAATTTCAAGAGTTTAATCAACGGCAGGAAAAATAGTGATATACTTGTGAACTTATTGGGAAATTTGAAAAAAAAAATGGTGAAAAAACAAGCTCTTTAAATATTGTACTTCATATGATATAAACCATATAACACAATTAAGAATAAAAAAAACTTTAAGATTCAACTAGAACTCTTACGTTTCTGTCTTATTGTTTTAATAATAATGAACATTATAGCAATTGTAATTTGTCATTCAGGGAAGGGGGCAAATACATTAACTAAATTACAATTAATGTTATATACATATATCTATATTTTCAATTTTGAAAAAACTCTATTATACTTCGTAATAAATACATAAATACATAATATTATACATTTATAACTAATTAATAACAGAACGTTATTCAATGCACTTGCATTCACAAATCGAGTTAATCAAAAGCTTGTTTTAAAAGCGTTTGAAGTATTTTAAAAATAAAGTTCATATCCTAATCAGTAAAATAAACTCTCTATGAAAATCCTCATTCTATGTTCATTTCCCTTGTTGTATTTCTACATCCCTTTAATCACCAAGCGTATTCCGAGTTCATCTTATCTTGGGTTAGACCATTTTTTATCAAAATACACTTGGTCTTTCGTATTGTTTTCTCTTGTCCCCTCTGTCATAGGATCTTCTGTCAAAAATAACTTCAAAATTTTAAAATTTAGATGTAGCTCTATCAGATACGTTTTAAATCATTGTTTGATTTCACACTTACGCTTTTCTTCTTTTAAGGTCCTGAAGTAGATTTTCTCTTTCTATAGAATAGCCTCTTGACTCATTAAAAACTAGAAAAGGTTGAAAGTAATGAAGTTTCATTTTTCTTTTCTAAACAAAAGATGGCTCCTTATTTTTTATCCCCTGGCAACGGAGTTGGAGTAACACGGTTGCGTTTGTGAGTGGATTAGATTGTCTGTTTGTGTGAATCGGAAGGGACTTAATTTGACTCGGGATCAATGTCAAATGCCATGGAGTCTTGTTAATTTTGTGATTTAAAATGATTTTTTAGTAAATAATTTCATCTAACTATAGGAAATATCTAGTGATACATTTTCAAAGAAAATTATTGGCATGTTTTGGCATATCATAAATAAATGTTTGATTATTAAAATTATATTTTGTTTAGGTACATGTAATCATCATACTTTAAAAATTAGATAATTCAATTATTGATTATTTCGTGTTTTTTAAAGAAATTCTTTTTATGAACGACAATCATGCTTAGTATTATGTATATCCTTATCAGGATAACATGCAGTTGAAAAACTTTTGCAATAATATGCAAGGACATTATTTCAATACGTTTTGGCCATTGCTGAAAATCAATATGGGAACTATTTATAGACTTTTTAGGAATATAGAATTACAAAAAATGAACAACTTTAATTTGTCAAACTCATCGAACGTAAAGCTGTTGAAGTGAAATTTTGTCTTCAAAGAATTGTATTTCTTACCTTTAATAGCATCCTCTGGTTCAAATCCTAGTCTTTCTATCATGTATCTGAAATGATACGAAACTTTACTTTTTAAATGATCATTCAAGAAAAAGACCTTAAGCAGAAATCATTGACATACCTGCAATCTAAATACCCCGTTTGGTTGATGCCGTGTGTACAATGAACGCCTACCATGTATTCTAAAAATCAGAATATCAAATGCCTCGGCTTAAATTACTTTCAAGACATTCGCTAAGAAAATATAATTTTTTACTTCACTGATACGCTATGGCAATACATACTTTCGTTGACATTGCTTTCATAAAACCCCTCCAATGCATCGAAAAACCTAAATGAAGAACACAAGGTTACATGATGATGTACTTTTTTTCGAATTTATTCCGACTTGTTTTAAATATAAAATTGGAAACGTTTAAATTCATTTACACAGTACATGTAGTTTTTAAAAGTATTTAGATAACAACACACCTTTAAAAAGTTTAGGAAAAATACACAAAATCTACTCAAAAACTTAAAGCACTGTAAGGATGTGTTAAATTCAAGGTGGAAAAACATGAAAACTCTACAGATCTTACTTAATTAGTGCATCGTTCACTTTTTGACACAGTAAAATAGCATATTTATGATTTATTTTACCTGTTTACCACATCATCGTTCGGAATATTATGACCTTCTGTGAAAATCTTTTCATATCTTATGCCTTGGTGGTGGAATTCCTGCGTGGACAATTCAAACAAATCAAATTAAACTGAATTTCTATAAAATTACCGAAAATAACCATATTCTAAGTAATTCAACATTAGACGACATAATTGCATATTAGAAAAAGTAATAATCTAAATTTTAAATAATTAAGTAAGAAAGGCAGCATATTGCAAGATATAATCATACATTAAAAACAACTTATTACGTGTTTATCTTTAAAACATTTCATTCTTAAGTTCTAGCAACAGATCTGAAAATATCGACTAAATGTTTTGTATGGACATACAGAAAGAGTACTATTACTGCTAATAAAAGATAAGATATTGATCATTATTTATGATTGTGTATTAAAATGAAGAGCTTAATGTTTCATTTTTTGCATTAAAATATGTAGATAAAAGTAATAACTAAGAGTAAACTAAAATAAAAATAAAGTACACCCATGTTTATAGGTTTTACTGTACTAAATTTTACGAATGAAAACCAACACTATAAGAAGATGAAGAATGAAGTATTGTAGTAAATGAGCAGATCAAAGAAGATACTTGAACTATCAATCACTTAGAAATGAAACGGTCATTATTTATTTAAAAGACTAAATTTACTTCTGTATTGTTAATTGTTGCTAAACACAATTTTTTCGTAATGGGTTTAAAATCCATTTAAGGAATGTCTCCAGTTAAAGCCAAGCAATTATAAGTGGCAATATATTTGATGTTGTAAATGGCTACATACAGAAGGACTGTAATATTTCCTAGTAAATGTCAGATCAACTACCATCCCCAGTTCAAATCCAGCATCTCTGATCTTGGACACTAAATGTGTTGGCGTGAATCTAGGAATAAAATGTTAGAATTTTAAAAATATTTTACAATATTTACAAAATTAACAAAACCTCGGCACTCTTCGTGACAATTTATTGCAATTTTTTACATTGCTTAAAGATACATCTAGCAAACAAAAATAACTAATTCCGAGAATATATGAGCAAAATTCTTATTTTGTGAGAGGACAATGAAAGAATACTTACTGTTCGTGTTTTGGTAATTTTTCACACTTTGCCTAAAGGAAAAAAAAAGATTAATATTATAATATACATTTAATTATGAGTGAAAGAAAAATCTCTTATAAAAGCCTACATTCCGTATTCAAATGAACCTGTATATTTTGACTGGATTTTTATATTACAAAACAATATGACACTGCAATGATTCCAGGTGATTTGGCTTGTCACAATTTAAGTTTTTTTTTAAATCATCATTTCATCTATATTGAGTGATAAATCCTATTTCTACGTCTGGAAATCCACTTTAACTTACTATACATTTTCCAAGGATGAAATTTTTCAAAATCAAATTTTTGTCGATATTACTTTTAACATATCATTCAACTGACGTTTTTCATACTAATTGTTAGTTTATCATTTTTACACTGAATTGACAACGGATTTTTCCGTTATTTCCCGATCATGACAAGGAGCACACGGCGGGTGTGACCGGTCAGCAGGGGATGCTCACTCCTCTATGGCACCTAATCCCACCTCTGTCCGTGATTGCTCTGCTCCTATCTTGTATTTTTATTGACTTTGATATTGAATATTGTTCGTTATCTCAATATCCTTCCTTCAACAAAATTAAAGAAATTTGAGAAATATTCTTGGAGCTTATGTATAAGATGAATGCTAATTCAGCAGACATAAAAAATTCTAAGAACTGCATCGAATGTTGGTAGCTTTGATTCGAATGAAAGTCTTGCATGGTAACTAGCTACATCTAAGATATGTGCTTGTGCTAGCGAAACTTGTGTGCAATGCTTATTGTTCGACGGCAATATTAATCGAATGTTTAATTTTTATTAACCAAAGTTTATGATTATGCTACTGGTTAACTTTAAAATAATAAAGAATTAAAAATTTTATGTTGCAAGAATAATGTTAAGCCTAATGAGACAAAAATTTAAAGAAAAGAATTAACGAATACCTACACTGTATGTGTCTGTTTGTTAGATATTACTTTCTAGTTACGTTACTAACAGATATTTACATATATAATATTTAATTTTATGCATACTTTCTTAAGTGGTACTTTAAAAGTTATCAGCCTTGTTCCAGGAATAACCTTTCCCAGAGGTAAGTACGTCTCCCATCTAAAAATAAAATTGAATTGTATTAAAATGAAACATCTAAGCAATGAATAATTAATTTTAAAAGTTATAGTCTATATCTTTCAAAAAATAATTATTCATTGCCTATATTTACATATTCCTCTCATATTAAGGCATACGTTTTATTGTCACAATCTTCCAACGCCGAAGAAGAGCAAAGTCACACGAAAAAACAAAAATTATGCTCACATTCACCAGAAGCTATTTTGTGGCTCTTCCATTAACTCTAGCTTACAAGAAGGATAATACTTAGGTTTCAAAATATAAATCACATCTGCAGGCAAGGCAGAGAGTTAAAAAAAATGTAAATATAAACAATGAATCTTTTTTTTTTCAAGATATACCCCCGGTATTTTCATAACTGCAACGGTGTGTGCAAACAAATTGATTGTTTGCACGCACCGTTGCAATTATGAGACTATATCTTGCAGAAAAAAATGAACACCGCTTAAATATTTGCATAAGTAAGGGGAGTTGGCAATTGTGAAGTTAAAGTCATCACGTTTATCATAGAGCCTAGTTGTTAGATTACTAAAACATCGCAGTACATGTTAGCATGAAACAAATGTGTCAGACTCTTTTAGCACAAGCTCGCCGGGATATATTGTATTGAAAAAAGAATGGAAATTCCCATTGTTAATTGACAGTACGTCGTCGATGTATCTAAATGTCGACTCGCCCCGTGACGCAATGGTTAGAGCGTCTGCTCTAGAGTCGCGAAGTAAGGAGTTGAGCCTTACATCTCAGATTTGAATCCCACTGTGGGAAGTGAAGACCGGTCCTTCGAATGAGATCGTATAAACTGAGGCAATCGCATCATCTCGGGTCTTTCCGTCAGAGGTCGGAAAAACAACCTCGAATGTATTAACATCACCGGGTGTTAAAAATTTATACATTTTCTGTTTAGTGAAATATAGAATAGTCAAATATAGAATAGTCAAATATAGAATATACGGAGTTAGAAGTCCCTTCTATAGTATATTTTAGGTAATATCATTACATTGAATTAATTTCGACTCCATATTCCACAGATAAAAGGTCTCCATGCATTTATTTCAAAGATCGTGAAAAGGGAGGGTTGGCGGCTACCATATACATTCGAGGTCATTAGTCGGAAAGGCCCGAGAAGTTGCGATTGTAAACTGAGGTTCCGTGTCGCAGTAGGTACTGGTACGAAAAAGATCCCTAACTGCTTAGTTGCCCTGAGTGCCGAGTATAGGAAAAAAATGTTGCTCTCCATCGGCAATTGATGGCGTCACCATATGAGTGAAAAATCCCCGAGAGAAACGTTAAATAACATGGCTCATCATTATGAATAAACGGTAATTCCAAAAAATAATCATCAAAAATTAATATAAATAGTCTACATGATTAAACATTGGAAATTATCTTGAGCTCGAGTTCTATTCGTAATATTTAGCTTTGTTTTATATAATAATGCTGACCTTAATACCCCTTTGCTTATAAAGGTTATGAAGAAAGTTCGCTTAACATTTTTCCTTTAATTTCCGATAAGAATATTTTAAAACCATTACATAACTTTACCTGTTTGGTGGTTGCTTTGTGGATGAAATGACTCTACTTGATGGCACGAGTGGGAGGGGGATAAGGAAGATATTGCTGGACTTTTTTAAGATAACAGAAAAAGAAAAAAGGTTTCCAGAAACTAAAAGTGTTTTTGGAAATTGAATTAGAATTTTTAAATTTACAAAGGCAGATACTATGTATGTATAATTATGACATCAACTGTTAGATATGAGAAAGTTATACAATGAGCGGTAGTCCTTCGATAAAGGAGTAAACACTTGATAAAATGTTTTATCACTATTTGAATGGGATGTTTAATTTGTCATTTTATGTTTTGTAATCTACAGATAAAATTTAGATTCTTACAAAAAAAAATGGAGAAAAAAAATATTTTTTAAAAAGCGGCATTAAAATTACTCATGGAGCAACATAAAAATTCCTTCGATTTGTGATTTTCTGTTTCGATCTATGTTTATATCTTTTTGATACAAAAATAAATGTTATTGTTACGTAAAATTAGTTAACCTAACTGGATCGTGCTTATGTTGAAGGTTAATAAAATAAGGTCTTCCTGAAGCTATTGAATGTTCTGTTCATTTTCTGCCACTTCTAACATTAAACTCTTGACGGCTGAACATAGACTTACTGATAATTTCCTTCGAATCTTTTCTGAGCTGATCGTGTGAGTCATTTTCATCTCAAGCACCACCTTCTTACATTTCTTCCTAAGAATTTGGATTTTTTAACCATAACGTGTATTTGAAATGATATCGTCCTAGGCCTGATTCCTCAAGTCTTCCATGTCAAGTTAGTCATAATAAGAACGAAATTATTTTTATTGTTATTTTGCATTCAGTTTTTAATTGTACTGATGCTCCTTCAAACAAGAGTCCCACGGGCCTTATAGGTCACTTGAGTATCATCGAACAACTTTCCAACAATTGAGTTTAGATCTTGTTTTAAACCAGAGGCCAGGAAATTCAAATTCACAATTTTGAAAAAGGGATACATTGCTTATCATAACTATACACTTAGCATGCTTTCTTTGGTAACTTGATACTCAGAGTAACAAAGAGAAAATGCAATTCCACTTTATAACCAGTTTTGCACGCAACCCCACAGGAACCACTTACCCTAGGTCCAAATATTTCAAAATTTCGGAAATGTTATCATATTTTTTTTTTCATAATAAATGGTTGATTAATACCAAAGGAGAATATTTCAAAGCATTGATTAATTTTCACACTATGTATCCTCCCCCTAAAGTATCCCTGACCCAGGGCCCCTGAAACTTACCATTTTGGAAGGGACAGCTTTCTTTATCGTAAACATGTACTTAGATCATTTGCATAATACCCAGGAACAAAGGAAAAGATCTTCAAAGAATTCATGCATTTTCACAAAATAATCATTAGAGCCCCACCCTAACACCTGCACCCCTGACTCTGGGGCTATGAGATTCAAAATTTTGGAAGAAGCAGCCTTATTCAATATAACTATTTACTTGTTTAGTTTATTTAGTACCAAGGAGCAGAAAAGAAGATTTTTAAAGAAAAAATGTATTTTCACTGTATGATCAATAGAGTCCCGACCTAAAACCAGAACCTATGACCCAGGGACAATGAAATTCACAATTTTAGAAGAGACATTTTTGCTCATCATAACTATGTACTTGGGTAGTTTGTTTAAAATCCATTTACAGAGAAGATTTTCAATGAAATGATGTATATTCACCATATAATCAATAGAGCCCCACCCTAGCACAAGAACCCTTGAACCTGGGGCCATGAAATTCACAATTTTGGAAGAGTTAGCCCCATTTAACATAACTATGTACTTGGTTAGTTTATGTAATACTCAGGAGCAGAAAAAAAGATTTTCAAAGAAATAATACTTCTTCACTATATAATTTACATAGCCCCGCCCTAGCACATAAGAACCCCTGACCCTGAGGCCTTGATATTCACAATTTTGGCAGAGGCCTCAATGCTAATTCATTCATGCCAACAGTTTGATGCTTGATGTCAAGGTGTAAAGAAGAAGATTTTTAAAGATTGCATAAATTTTAGCAGTTTTGGCCCCACCCCTCAGGCCCCAGTGGAGCAGGGACCATGAAATCCACAAATTTCGTTTGCCTTGACTCATGGATGTCAAAATTGGTTGAAAATAGTGGAGCAGTTACAGAGAAGAAGCTGTAAATAATCAAATGTTAACGCACGACGACGGACAAAAATGGATAGCAATAGGTCACCTGAGTTGACTCTGGTGACCTGATAAATAGGAACGTATTTTAGAATCCCCAACACTGGACAGGTGTTGCCTACGCAGATCAGAAAGTACAATGCTATATATGGACAGAGATAGGGTCTTATTGCTGATTGGGGTAATTTTAAAATTTTGTGAAAACTTTCACGTTTTTATAAGAATACATGATCATCTAGATTAAAAATAAATCAATAGTTGTTTTTAAAATAACTAAATTTAATGTATCAAATTGCTATAATAGCTTCTCATTGCATTAGAATTTAAAAAGAATAATGTTAATTCGAAATAATGTAATGAAGAATTTTTAAGAGTATGTTTCTGTCCGTTCGTTGAAGACTATAAGCTCGAACTATTCGAATTTACATTAAATAAATATCATACCATCTTATCACATGTTGACGCATGTCATCTCAACGTTCCTAATATGTTCTCTTGCCCCATAATTGATAAGAACCAGACGTTCAATAAGTGATAAATACAAGTCAAATTTTTGAGAGATAAAATTTACAGGGACTGTTTTTCTCACGATTATAATAATGCAGACAATCACAACCCTCGTTGCACTTCTATTTCTGTTCAGCAGAGGTGAGTTAATGTTCCATGGTTGTCCTTGAATTTTTCTTACTTGTATGCCTAATCCAAAATTAGAACATTTATTTTACAATTTCAACTAGAAGATATTGCCATTAGCATAGTTTTCAAAACAAAGATAAAGAAATATTTATATACATGTAGTCGGATATACGAGAATAAGCTATTTTTTGTACTGTCGGAACCATTTTTTTTAACATAGATATCGAGAAATTGTATGTAATAAGCACTTCAACATATCCTACAATATTTTGAAAACATAAAGTGTATTGTTTTAGAATATTATTTTACATAAATATGTATATTATCATTATATAATATTATGTTGGTGTTTCTTCTGCAGTTCTGGGTTGTATTCTGTTTGACATTTTACCAGATACACCGATATAACTGTATATATAGTGTCATGTTAAGTTCATTCATGTATATCTTAATGATTTGTATCAAATAGCATTTCATTTCTTTCTCTTCTAATGCCAATTTTTATCGATTTTACAGCACATTTGTTTCAGAAAACGTAGAACACTAGCTTGCTTATCTAGTACATAATTTATATATTTCATGCACTTTGAGTATATATATATATATATTAAATAGGCAAGTTCTACGTTTTCTGAAGTGAGAACTATCTCGAATTTGATGAAATTCCATTAAAATTGAGAAAATTCAGGTAAATGTTATATCTCTACATCCTCATGTCACCTCGAGTTCCATGTAAGCTTTGAATCAACATTAGTGCTAGTTTTAAAATGAGCATCATTTTAAGTTCATGGCAACAAACTATCACAATTTTAATAATTACCTAACCTACTAAATAAATTGTTATAAAGCATTTTGAACTGTTTCTCGATTCATTGTCATGTTTTTGCATATATTGAAACATTCAAACTGTTTACCCGGTCAAAGAATGGATTGTTATATCCCTACTAAACGGAACCTGTATAATTTCTTACTTTAAAAAAGTCCCACAGTTCGTCTGTTTTCATCGACCGTCGGTCCAGAAACTGTTAAAATGTGGAAAAAGACTGTTTTCACTGACGTCAAATGGCACCAAACTGAGTTATCTTTTCATTCAAAGTAGACAGGAGTCTCGGAAAACAGTCGACGGCCTTGGGCAACAGCTTGCACTCCAGTCCAACAGATCGACTGTTTCTCTCTACCCCAGTCAACAACTGTATATTGTTGCGTGGCTGAGGTGATCCATTATTACGTCAAAATTAATTTTCCGTACTTTACAGACCTCTTTAATATTGGATTATAAATAAATTGAAATATTTTTGTGGCATTCAATTTGAAATTATCATTTAAAAAGTGATCCGAATACCCATAGAAATATCTAGTCAATTAAATATCATTTCAAAGAAGAGGCCAAGAACACCTTTTCTGAGAATAATTTGGGAAAAATTAGTCTCCTTCACGCATTATAGATCTTTGCCTTAGACAGGTCGACCTGTTAAACGTCCCACTTATATATTGTTTTATTTGAATCTTCAAGTTATTCTTATGTTTTGTGAGAATTTGATTAATTTTCGTCTTGTTTAGTTTGGTTTCAAGAAATAATACACTTTTGTTGCTGTGTTTTAAAATCCATTGATTTCTGTAAACAAACTTTTATTCGCATGCGAGAAATTTTCGCAATTGTCGCAAGAGAATTGTCAACTCGAATATTTCTCGCCGCGAACCGATCCTTAAAGTCTTAGTGTATATTAACAACATGTCAAAATAAGGCTTCATCGCAAAAATCAATCGTCACGAACTAGTTTACCCTCATAAAATCGCGAAATAAAGTTCTCTCGAATAAAAGTTGGTGTACAGTATTATGTTGGTATGTCTATATCATTATTTTAAGAAATTATATGCATGTAGTAGGTAAGGTAATAAAACACTTTTTTTAAACAGTGAAACTGTTTCCCATATCTTCCCCCTTATCTTGGGTCAACAGTTCGACTGTTTCCCTCGTAGTTATGAATAAAAAATGTGTATATTGTTTTATGGTTTTTACATCAAATAAGGGGTCAAATTCAGCCGTTACCATACCTTCATGTATATTTATCTACGCAGATTTACATGTACAATCTACAACCATAAAGCCTCCAGCCCCAGATGTAACAGTGACCTCTACAGATATAGCACCTACAGAATCAGGTAATAATACAGTGTGGAGTTTCATGAATCTTTAAATAAAATGCAAATATAGGTCGTTAAATGAAGTGATTTAGGAGGGAATTCCCTCTACTCCAACTAAGAAAACTTTGGTCATTTTAAGAATATAATATTTCTTACATGTGTACTTTTCTGCACAATCTAAAATATCTCCTAAACACATGATTTGTTTTCATGTATATTTAAAAATAGACTATTTTCCCTTGATCAGAGTGTATAGACGCTAAGGATGTTGACTGCATACTTTATAACCCAAAGATTATATGTAACGACACGAGCATCTACTATCCATGGGCCAGAGTCAGATGTCCATATTACTGTGGATTTTGCCATCGTAAGTATGATCCGGTAATTATTTATTTCTTTTGTATATACATCATTAAGAGGATCGAATGGTTTTGATGTAAAATATGAGAGAGATGGAGAGAGATTGAAAACTCTGCAAAATTACTAAAAGCTTCAACTGATCGTCCATTCTAGTGCAACACAGACAAACTTACAAAGAACAATAACATTGGATTCACTTCAGTTTTTTTTATTCTTAGTATCAAGAGATACATAAGATTTTCATTATAATATATGGTATTCATAATTGAAATGAAAAGATAATTTAAGCAATGAATCATTTTTTTTTGAAAGATATAGTCTCATAACTGCAACGGCGTGTGCAAACAAATTGAGTAACGCGCTACAAAAGGAAATAAAACAGTAGCACAACGGTATCTCTCCCTAAGGTACAAAAGTTCTCCTTACCAAAATTGCTTTCATTTACTCTTTCAGAGAAAAACATCAAAACTTTTATCGAACATTTTTTTCTGCGAAAACCATATTTGCATGTTTGCCTTTTTTGTCCATGTAAACAGCGTCCACATATTGCTCGCCCTCAGCAAAAAGAAATTTGACGCCAAAAATGCCATGGACATAAGTTCCTGGCAAATGTCTTTTGGATTTCGACAGTCTAAAGGCTTTTCTAAGGTAGAATCGTATTAATATGCTTTACATGCTACTAGTAAATAATTCTTCATCGAGTAAAACAAGATTTTCCGGACAGAGTCTGGATGCTTATTTCGGAGATAAAAGGAATAAAAGCAAGCATATGATATGTGACTTATAAATACCACATCAGAGAAATGAATGTTAGTAGAAACTCATTTTCTGAAAACATTAAATTTTATTTCTTACATTTTTTAAAGTTGGTTTTCCCTGTTTCTTGGAATTTGAAAAATTACATTGTGTTCTTACATTATATGATTAACTCTTTCTCTGCATGTGCTCATTCTTTTGTATCAAACAGGTAAATTCTTCTGCAAGAATACACTTTTAACAATATAAGACTTTCTGTTCAACAATGACTCTCTTTTATAATGTGTTTGTTTTTTTCTGTCATACTGCAAGGTCCAACATTAACAATTCTTTGTAAAGACGAAATCCCAACATGTCGGGACTACAGCGCAGACCTGTGTACAAACCCTTTATACAGAATCTTCAGGGAAAGGAAATGTAGAAAATACTGTGGAATACGTAAAGGTAAATGTTAACATTATACAACTACTAGACCAGTATGTTTTGTATAACATGAATAATTGTATTTGAAATATAAGGTGAAGCCCTGAATAAAAAGATTCACTTGGGTATATTGTTTTTGTCCTGTCCGTCTGTTTGTCTGCAGAAGGATATAGAGATAACGAACAGTATTCAATATCAAAGTCCATAAAACAATAGAAAATAGTAGCAGAGCAAACACGGACCTCCGAAACATCAGAGGTGGGATCAGGTGCCATGGAGGGGTGAGCATCCCCTGCTGACCGGTCACACCCACCGTTTGCTCATTGTCATGATCGTGAAATAACCAAAAAAACCGTCTTCAATGCAGTGTATAAATAATGGACTAACAACTGGTATAAAAAACGTCAGTCAGCATTTGACTCAATGATAAATTGCATTTGCTGACAAGGTCATTGTATCGACCATAGAACTTACGAAATGATGACTTTATACGAGACTGCTGATATTCTTGTTTCATCAACTTGCTTGTCAATAGATTACCTCGCTTTAGAAATTGTGGTATCTTTTATCTCAAGCTCTCCTGGATATATCGTATCTACGTAGGAATGGAAATTACTATTGTTAATTGAAAATACGTCTTCGATATATCTGAAGGTCGAGTTTAAGGCCACAGCTGTTTCTCTATCTGTCTGTTGTCAACTTTAACCTAGTAATTAACTTTTGTGCTATCAAGGGTAAGTGTACCACTTCAGTCTACGTCCCAATCCAGAATTACGTTACCATCGGGGGGCATAGTGTTTCACAAACACATCTTGTTTTTCAGATTTTGATTCTGTCCCAAACATCGATTCCTTGGTCGGATGATTCCTCTACAAATATTTGCTTTTTGTTAAGTTTGATTACTTTTAAAAAATGACATTGCCTTTTCTTCATGTATAACATATCTATGTATTCAATACACATGTTTTTGTATGATATATTTGTCTTTTGCTCACACTCCTTATAAGGTATGCTCCTGAAAATCATTATGTGCAATCTGTGAGAACGCAGATATGACTTATTCTAGCTTGGGGGATAATTTTTAGCTTGGGAGAATACCGAATTCATAAGTTATAACATATAAATCATAGCACATTACTTAATTGCTGGACACAAGCTAGATGTACACATGTGTAAAGAAGAAGGTACAGTTTGGGCTTTTATTGTGCTCTAAAATTTTAATGTTCTTGAAAAGTTATCACTTGGCTTTAACAAGAGTTGAGTAGATAAATATGATAAATGATCAAAGAATATGGCATGAAGGAGGACCATTCTGAAAATATGACATCATTAATTTTTTACATTTCTAAGTTATTGCAGAAAAGCCTCAGAGTGACTCATTTCTGTGCTTATTTTTCTTTAGAAAAAGCGTCTGCCACCATCGCCCACTTCAATTTTTAGATATGCTGTGTAAACTGCCTGAAAAATTCACATATCTCTAACTAAAAATCTCTGTGGGCGACGGTGGCAGAGTATGGTTTCTGAAAAAAAATTCTACTTAAAATTGATGTCTTTTGCAACTTTTAAAGAAAAGTCGGCGGGAAAATGCTCGAATTAATGACGTCACAATTAGCATTTAGGGGGTCAGATGAGAAAAACGATATGTGTATTCTGGATAGAATTCCTATGAATCAGAAAAAATGAATTTTAATTTCTTATATCAGTTTTATATTTTAGAAAAATACAGGGCTTGATTTGTATTGAAACTGAACCTTGTTCTTTTCAAACAAGATAAACTGCTGTAAAAATTTCAATGTTCTCTATACACATATCCTTTGAAAAACGTCTGCCTTACATGTTTAAAGAATGATTCAATGGAAAAATAAACCGGGTAAAAACCGAGCTTATCGAAATCCAGCGAAATTAGAGGCTTTATGCTTTAGTAAATAGACTTTCTGGGAAGTGACATCAGATAATACATTGTAGCACGTCTTTTCTCAGTGTTTTTATGTACTTTTTGTCATATGAAAGCAAGCTTTGTATTTGACAATTAAAGCTATAACGTTTATTATCAAAAGGATAGACATGTTTAGAAATTTGTGAGTGATTCAGGGGAATTGCAGAGAAGTAATTTGAAAATGACTTTCTAGTAACGCTTTAGAATATGTTTGATAAGAAGGCCCCAGAAATCGAAATAAAAAACATAACATTTTTAAACCTATACAACAAAAAATACCTTGATGATCGCAAAGTTTAAACCTTTAAAATACAGGTTAAAGCTGACACGAATTCTTAAAAACGCAACATTTTCATCTATGTACGACTTGTTTCATACCAACTATAGCCGTATTCCGCCATATTTCTTTCAGATACCTTGTCTCATTGTAACGATGTATACCCCAATGCGCTAGTTACACTTGAATGATTTTTTGGATTGGGTATCGACTTGTGCACATCTCCGATGGTAAAGCATATGAGAACACATGAGGACATCAAGACATTTCAAAAACAAAATAAACAACATAATAAGCATGTTTTTGAATGATTATTGATTTGAATCAAAAGAAAAAAATGCAAGTTTGGAAGAGAAATTTAGATGCATGAGTACGTATTTTTACAGTGCGCCAATTTATGCAGAATAAACTTGAAATAAAAAGCAGTAAAATTCGCAAACACATTTTGAAATTATATCATTTGAATGGAACAAAACAACCAACGTCTTTGATTTGCAGGTCCTATGCAATTGATGCATATCGAGAAAACGCCTCGAACGCTCTAAACGTACCCATACCTGGTAATAAGGTTACTGCATCGGTTCGAAGATGTGTGCACAAGTCAAGTGATATATACCCTGAATTCCAGTTATTGAAATATGCATCACAAAAAAACTCCATAAAAGCTCAATAGTAAACACACTGTCATTACTCCGTACACACTAGCACGACGATACATTAGTCCGTGCTGATCAGATTTTGGTCAGGGAAAATATCAAAAGTGGAAAGAGAAGCTATTTGGTATTTGCGCGGCTGAAAGGGGGAGGATATTATAACTGCTGTTCGTAAGCTACATGTATAATTGTGAATTGTCCATCTATATGTAGTTCTAATATATATTCTATACTAAGTAATGTATATAGTCTGCAGTTGGTTTGCGTCGCAAAATTCATTTGTCAATTATGACTGATTATTTTCGTACTAATCTCAAATCTAAACCAAGTAATTTGATGTACGGCAATAATTTACTTCAAATCTTATGAGCAATTAACCAGAATATAAATTTTTATGTTTACATCTATACATTCTTTAACACATACACACACGGAGAAAGGCCATCCCCTGTTCAGATTGACATTTAGGCAATTGATTTTTTGGAGAGAGGGGGGGGGGGGGGGGGCATACAAAAATAATCGACATGACCGTTATTTAAATATTCTTGGAAGACAGACATTTCTGCCGAATTCAGTTTTGAGATTTTTTTAAAATGTGTCACTCTGAACACAAAGTATGTGCATTTTGAGGAATGTAACTGGTTTTATAATTACGCAAGTAGGTTAAGGTTACAACCAAATATTCTACTTGCCTATATGATATGACGTCATAGTAAGCTATATGACGTGAAGTTTAGAGATAACAATTTCTTATAATCGATATCTAAGATTGATTTGAGGTCGTAAAATTAATCAAAATATGCAGAGGCATAATACAAACAGAATTTTGTCGTTTCTGGGTCTCTGTAGTTATCACAGGGGTTAAATACCAAACCCGTGACGTCATAACTGTTGATCATGCAGTAGCAGAGTGAAAGTGAAACGTAACAAGAATTCATGTAAACAAACACAAGAAATTGGCTAAACCCATACTCACTGCATAATGGTAATATGTAATAAACTTAAGATTCTTTGAGTTTAAAAGCATTTAGAATGAATATCATGTGTGATTCATGTGGAAATAAAGCTTTTGATTAAGGTATGGTAATATACTTCAACAATTTCTTCGTAAAATTAAAGCAGGGAGGGTGCTTACTTGCCGATCAGCCTTTCCTCTGTCGTTCGTAACAAATAAGATGCAAAAGTTCAACACTACGCCGCACACTTTGAAACTTAATTTTTGTTTCTATCTAAAGTTCTTATTCTATTGTTTTTGGAAAGTGCTGCTAGGATCGTATGGTTTACGGGAATTAATGCATTTTTTTTCGATGTAATGAATAAAATGTAAAAATTTTGGGAAGGTTTCGGCCGAAAGTGTTGAATAATTATTTCTGTGATAGGACAGTAGGATTCTAGCAGCACTTTTCATGGTACAGATATGTTTTTACGTAATTATTATTACAAATTGAAATGAATTATTCCCGGGGTAGTGTTGAACTTTTCACTTTTTCATTAAGGCATATTTTCTAATTATAGACGTCACGTGGTGACGTCGTGGTGAAGTGCTTCATGTAGTACAAGTCCCATTGAAGTCTATAGAATGCATAATTATAACAAAAGTTTTATGCTTGACTTTTCCGTTTTATTACTGTTACATAATTATAAAAAAAAGTCTTAATTCGCCGAATTCTGGTCCATGTGCTGCCTTAACATACCCGCGTATGTTGTTACAGGAAGTATTTCGAGATTTCAGTATCCCTGCCTGATAGTATTTTTTTATACATATAAATAATTTCTGTAGGTGAATTTCGGAGATAATTTTAAAAGCTAGGGTAGGGATACTTGACACTGGTTGAATACGGATAATTATTATTTATTCTTTTGTATATTGACTCTCTCTCTCTCTCTCTCTCTCTCTCTCTCTCTCTCTCTCTCTCTCTCTCTCTCTCTCTCTGTAACCACCCGTTGGGGCAATGATAGGTATAAATCCTACGCACTTTGTGCTGTACCATTTATTATGCCTTAGGACAGATCAAGGATTTTTTTCAGGCGGGATGTCGAAACTTCATAAATTGAATAATAATTTTACTTTGGACAGGAAATTAACCCAAACGCCCAAATTGAAAGAGAAACTAGACGTACATGTATTATGAGCACTGAGCTCACTCAATGATAC